ATGATTTGTACTGTGAAACAGGCCTAGAGGAGTCAGTTAACAATGAATGAGGAAGAAGTATTGTTCCAGTGGGAGGAAACAAGATGATTTGGAAAAGTTCTTGGAACAGATAAGAAGAATTGAAAACATAAAAAATTTGGCGCTGTTACGACTTCAGCTTCTATTAGTAGAACAATATCAAATACTTTGTTGCACGAGGATAGACATCTTTCCAAATCTGTTAGAAGTTCAAAACGGGGCTTGGATGAATTCCTAAGGAGATACTAAAGTGCATCAGTTGGGGGATATTCTCTGGTAATCTTTGTCTTACATTTGTGGATACCGGAGGAAGAAGAGGAAAGTGGGTCACACAGAGGTCAGGCTTGCAAGCCATCTGCACACAGCATCTCTTCCTGGCACTGGAGACACGGAGAAAACTTGGCTTAGGTGGACATTCATCTGCTTTGGCACATTCTTATGTGTTGAAGTGTAGAACTCAAAGCAACAGCTATATTCAGGCCCTCATCTTTTCTCCAGAAGGCTTGTGCAGTACCTGAACAATCCTAGATTTTTTCTTAATCCGAAATGCGTGCTTGAATTCCTCCTGTGGAAGCCAGACAGATGCATGGTTCTGATGAGTGGTTAATGCTATTTGTTGTCAGGTTCTGCAGGTGGTGTCTGTCAGAGGGAAATACGGTCACTGTACTTTACTTTCTGATCTGTGACTACATATTGTCTGTATAGTAAGTTAGAACGTGCTTCAGTGAAGGTCTGTCCAAAGTTTTATGGTTGGAGTCAAGAGGTTGAGAAAAGGAGGGGTTTTGTTCAAAGCTTAGGTCCAGAAGAAACTGTGGCCAGCACAGAATTAACACAGTTTATCTAGCTGTCACTGGTTTTGATCAGTCTCAGAGTGCTGTGCAAACCCCAGAAGAATAAAAAAGCAGTCCATTCTAAGGAGACCCCTCTTAGGTTTGTCAGGTGCATGACCACCTCCATCAAGACTCCAGACATATATCATTGGGGGCTCTCAAATAAGTGACTGCACAAACCTTGGAGCAAACCTGCGTCCTTTCTAAAAACAACTACATGCACTGATGGAAGGGAATTCTCGATTAATGCTGACCTGTTTGGCAGCACTGGTGCCCTATGGCTCTTCAGGTGTCATCACTGACAATGCTTGAACTTTGAGGGAATCCTTTATTTACATAAAGAAGCTGCTGCAAAGCTACTGGCTGCATGAAGTGCTTTGCCACAGCTTGGGTGCAGCATGGACAGACAGCCACCCTCTGTGACAGAACTCTCACAAGCACAGAACTGTACTACTGTCAGCTGTTTTAGCACATGTGGGAGCACTATCACTACTGAGCATCATTTGCCTGGAGATAGTTCTGAAGTGTTCCCACTTCAAGATTTGAGTTCAGAAAAAGTGAGAAATTACAGCACCGGCCCTGTCTGGTGAGAATAAACAAGACTTAAACAGTGCCAGGCATGCCGTTTCACATTCAAGGCTTTCCAGCTGAAATGGCTTGTGTTTTCAGTCTTGGGTAGAAGAAGCTTTGAGGTGCTTGGCAAGAGCTGACTCTCTTCTGTTGAGATAGAAAGCAAAAGAGATCAAAGGAGATTGTGACTACATATAAGGAAGAAAAAAATCCCCAGTAAAAAAAAAAAATTAAATTTCCCATTTCAATGCTGCTACAGAAGCCCCAAAAAGTTGAGGAATCTCCATCCTTGGTGATGTTCAAAACTCACCTTGACAAGCTTCCCAAGGAACTCTACTCCCTTGCTGGTTGTTCAGCTAAGAAACCAGGATTCTTGGAAATAGTGGTGGTGATTGTATTTATCCCTTTAGCTGGGAACTCAAACATAAATTTTGGTAATCTAGGTACCACAGTGATGGTGCCAAAGTAAACAGTCATGATAGCTTTGGTGAGTAATGTAAGGAGACAACCCAGAAACTTCCGTCTCCCATCTCTTGGAGCTTAGATTTACAGTAAAAATAATATGAGTGGTCTTTTCTGGCTGCTTGGGATCTTCACAGTTTTATAAGGTTGAATCATTGAAAGACATTTTAATCCTCAGGAACTGTCACTTCTCAGTTTAAAATTTTCAGGACTTCCAAGGAGATAGAAATCATTCTACTAGCTAAGGAAATATATGCCTAAAAATAGGTTATCGTAAGAGGTTTGACAGCTCGTACATGAGTGGCAAGTTCATGTACTTGGAGGAGAGAGAGGAAGAGAAAGGGTATTTAAGGAAGTTCTTCAAAGGATCCTGTCCACAGAGGGTGTATTGCTTTGCAGTTGGATTTGGAGGAGTGTGGGGAATAGTGGATTCCATAGCAAAGAGAAGTAATCTTGCTGAAAGCAGTTTTGGAGCAGGTAACTAGCTGAGGCAGCCATGGAAAGGTGCTTGTGTGGACAAGAGGAGAGGGTGGTTGGAAAGTTGGGATGGTTTGAGGTTTCTGTTTACGTAGTTTGGTGTAGGGTAGAAGTAGCAGGAGAACTAAAGAATGAAAGATGAGCGTCTTTGGGTGTAGTCAGATTCTGTACACATCAAGTGCTTGGGGGAAGGGCAGGGCAGTGGTTAGCAATTTAGGGGCTTGGTACTCTTTAATTCACAGAGGCTAGTGCTTCCCTCCTACTCTCCCTTAAATGCTTCCATAATGTTCTCTCTATCCTTCATTGTGGAGTAAGCATTTTTCATTGAGGTGTGGAAGAGGCAGAAAAAAATTTAAAAAACCCAAAACCTAAAAAAAAAAGTTACCTTTTTATCTGCTAAATCACAACCAGCTTTTTGATTTAGCCACAGTTTATTTTGAGAAAAATAATTGCCAGCCTAATCCAGACAAAGGCTGCATGATTCCTCTTGAAGAGCAGTGTAACTTTGGTGGGATACAGAGGAAACCAGGATAAGACAAACAGATGTTGTAAGAGAGATGTGCAGGTGAGGAGGGCAGCAGAAGAACAATTGGTTTCCTTGGAGCCAGAAATTGTTTTGTGTCTGGTTTTGTGTACGAGGGATTTTTTAGTTATATCTGTTTTGTGGTAATTTCGATGCTTTGGTGTGAGATCCAGCAGCCAAAGTGTATTTGGGTTCTGTTTTCTGCTCTGTGATTCCGACATTATGTGACATGAGAATATTTGAATTGCGAGCTGTTTTCAAGCCTTCTGCAGATAAATGAGGTCCCTTGACTGAAATGAAAGTGTTCTTCAGTTTGTTTGACCTCTGTTCCTGCATTTGCTTGCCTTCATTATGAATCCTTATAAGTCCCCATCTCTTAGGATTTCACTGGTTCAATAAAAAACTTACAGATATTATAATATTGTAGCTTTCCAGTACAAATGGTGAGTATTTATGTCTCCATGTAGAGGTGTCTTGCAGGCTTGATTTTGGTGTGCCCAGTCTTAGTTTTGGTGGCTCAGGCAGCATCTTTACTCCTTTTCCAGGAGGCTGCTGTTGTGTGCTTGGGTAGTTGTTTCTGTAAAGAAGGACTTTCTGACTTTTCACCCTGAAATTTTCTCCTCTTTGCAGTTGCATCCAGTGGCGTTTTTATTCTGTGATGTGTTGTGTTGTATACTTGCTTCGTAAAGTAATAAGCAGTGCCTGTATCCATCCTCACATTTAATCTTAATTTTTTTTCTCAGTAATAGTTAATGATTTTATTTTTCTCTTTCCTCAGAAGGCATGGACCAAAACTTTTGCCTCTTGCTGAGATTCCTTTAGTTTCCCTACATTTTAGTGATGCCCAGAGTGCCTTTGGTTCATCTGTCTTGGGTGCTCTAGGTTCTCACTGGGAGCAGCAGAAGAGAGAGCTGTTCCATCCTGCCCAAATTTCTCTCCCTCTCCAGTAAAGCAAATCTAATTGCGCTCTGCTGCCTTTTCTCATATTCCCCAGGCTGCTTTTTCCTCTGCTATGCCCAACTTGCTCAAATCCCCTGCTGCAAGGTTTTCAGATAATTGCACTGAGGCTGCCCCTTTTAATTATAACTCTTCCCCCTTCCTCCCCTCTTTCAGCCAAGTTATTGAGCCATTTCTGTATATTGCCTGAGACATTTTTCTTTCTCCTTAGCTACGCTTCACTGTCTCACTGAAGACATTGGAGCATTTTCAATGCTCTGCTCAAAGAGCACCTGAAGAAAAAAAACATTCTGGCTTTTTGCATGCAACCTACATATTACTGTGATATTTCTCTGTTGGGCTGAGAATTGGACAGATGGAGCTAGAATTACCTTGCTTAGCAAAATTGTTATGCTGTATTGATCTAATGCAGTGCTGGATTAGGCTACATGCTGCTCCCTTACTGGAAGAAAAGCTTTTATGTCAGGTTCTTAATGGTGCTGTTAGAGTTTTATTTTGATGTTTTCCCACTTAAGATAATAAACTTGGACTTGTGTGCTTTTTCTGGCTGTAATGCAGGCTCCCTGTTTGACCTTAAATATCACAGCGTTTGCTTCCTCATGTACAACATATCAATGGGAAAAATAGTGTCCAACTTAGCAGTGTTGTGCAGTCATATGCTTAAAGGGACAAATGCCTGCATGTGAAATGCAGCACAAGTGTGTCAGCTGTGCAGATTTGTGTTGGCAAAAACTCTCCTGTCATGGCTACTGCCCTGCGGAGTCCTTAAAAGGCAAAGTGTAAACTACAAGAGACAGAATTCGAAAAGCATACAGGGGAAATGAAATGGACACCTTCCAAGAAACATTGCCAAAGATGCAGAAAGGATCAGGACTTCAGTAATAGTACAACCTATACTGTGGTAGAGATTAATGTTGATTTGGGAACCACACCGTCCCTGATGCCATGAAAGTCTCAAAATCTGTGTGTACTGGCAGTGCAAAAAACACCTGTGACTGACTGAAGTCTTGAGGGATGAGTGTATGGAAAATACTGGGTCTGTGCTACTCCTTTTTAACCCATATCTTGGAAGTAGTAAATGATGGAATGGGTGTATAAAAACTGTCAGTTTTGTGTTAGAGTGACCTGATTTCTGTTTCTACCTTCTGTTTTTTCCTAAACAGCATTTCTCTGCAAAGACCTCTGTGCTTTAATTTGGAAAGATATTAAAACACTCCAAGAAATCTCAGACTATTTCAAGAGAGTGGTGTGGGCTTGTTGAAGATGGTGGTATTTACAGAGAATCTTCATGGATTCTAATGCTGGCATCAGTGCAAGAAGAGTGTCGGGAATGGGTTGGCTCTGGATGGTCTTCTTCTTTCATCTAGTCACCTCATTAGAAGGTAAGAACAGATGTTTCACATCAACTTTAAAGTGTTTTCTGTAGAGGTTAAAAAAACAAAGTGTGCTCTCCAGTATGCTTATATCCTAGTTCAGATGAGCATTGAGCACATGTCTTTCTGTTTGATGGTTGATCACTATCTCTTGGGATTTAAAAAGTTATTAGTATTGTTTCTGGTGGGAGAGGCAAACCCTCTTATGAAGGATCATTAGTGAGCATTACTGCTAACTATCTCAGAAGTGACTGCCTCAAAGAATAGATTTTTTTTTTATCCAGGAATAAGCTCCTTGTTTATACTTTGTGTGTATTTGATTCTCATGTTTCTGTTCTTGCACCATGTTTGCTTTGTGAAACAATCTCTGGACGTTTGTACCGTTCGAGAAGACAACACCCACTGGGCTGAAATCAAGAGTTTTTGTCTCACCTCTGAAAAACTTGCCTCAAATAATAGATAGGAGAGGATGTTTTGCATTAACAAGAAGAGGCAGTTCACATTCAGCCAGCAGAGAGGAGGGAGAAAGCACTGGAGGCAGGGTAGGGAAAAGGTAGGCAGGGGAAAAGAGGTGCCAAGAAAATGGTAGAAGAAAGAATAGATGATAGAAGGAAGGGTGATGAGAGCAGGAGATAAGATGAGAGCTGTGGAAGAGAGTTAGAGAAGGGCAGAGGTACTGTAAACAGTCCCCTTGTTTGTTCCAAGAATATCCTTGCAGCTACATGTGCTCAGTGAACTGTACTGCTTTGTGAGGAATGTTCATCTCTTGCATTTCTGAAAGCCACTGAAAGAGGAGAGGAGGGAGAGATGAAATCAAAGGGAAGCAAGGAAATACCTAGAGGAAAGGAAAGGAGAATTATGTGAGATCTAATAAAAAGAGGAAAGCTTGTTAAAGCATCCCTTCTCTTAATAGGAGGGGAATACAGTGTGTGTGGGAAGTTCAGAGGCTAAATAATTTATGTAAGATTATAATACAAATTCTTAAATCTCCGAAATTCTGTGAATTGCTGATTTTAAAATTGTATTAAAAATTACTGTGTAATTCCTTGTGTAACTGGTATAGAAATGAGATAGAAATTCTCTCTGCAAATATGAAGTAACTGAGTGATGCCTGTACAAACGAACATTTTTTGAATTCATTGCTCAGTCCTGAAAGTTTGTAAAGATAAAAAGAGTTTCAAAAGCACTGTATGATACAGCTTCACAGATCACATAGTTGACCTGCCTGGATTAAAATAGGACAGTAAAATTCTGCCTGTGGAGAGGAAACAGTAAAGGTGTCCATGAGCCAAACTTCAGCTCTCAATTCAGGGTCAAGGGAGTCAGCATCTTCATTGTGACTGTACTGCATGGTCCTAAGTTTGCACTTTAAAGCTGATTTGCATCTCAGAGGTAAGTATTTTTGTTGTGGTCAAAAGTCAAATAAAAATTATATGGTAGGGGAGGAAAGTCTGATGATAACTATGTGGAAAACTTTGCTTTAGTGCAGAGTTGTCCATAAGGAAGAAAAAAGGCCCATGGCTTGTTTGTTGACTCATTATTATATATAGCAGGAACTTGAAATTCAGGTTTCAGATTTAAGTTGAAAAATATAGGGAATATCCAGTGTGGTCTTCAGTTTTTGTAGAGCTTCTTAGAAGTTTTAGATGGTGTTTAAAACACATTTCACCTCCAACTAAAGAGAGTTGACTGAGTGGGAAAATGAATCAATCAATTCTTCCTAGTGTTTCTCGGGCATTTGAGTTAAAGTCTGAATGTAAATCACATTTTGTCTCTAACTAAATGTTGTTCAAACTTTGAAATTTTCTAAACCTTAATGTTAATCATTAAGGAAAGAGGGAGAAGCTGTAGAGAGGGGAAGTAGTCAAAAGATTCAGACTATCTTCATATGCATTATGAAGAGAGCAAATACTTCTTAGGCAGAATGCCTCTCAGATAGAAAGAAGGCAGCATGCTTTTACAGGACCTAATGGGACTTTAAACACCCTCATGACTCAGAGGTAAAGAAGTTCTTGTAAGCAATTGAAATTATTTTGTTGGTATTGGTTTTAATGCATAAAAAGGAGGTATTAGGCTGAATTTATTTAATATAGCTCTAGTATTTGGACACATTGATTTCACCAGGAATGAGCATGTCTGTGCAAAGTTTTCTAGACATGATTTTTACACCAAAAAAAAGCCTGAATGGAAACTTGAGGGAAGACTGGTTTGAAAACAGAAAACATTTATATGGGGGGGGGGGGTTAGCTTTATAAAAGGAAACACAATTGCACAGAAGTTTTCATTAAGATCACATTTCTCAGTGTTTATAGCTCTGCAAGAGTTTTTTGAGGATTTGATTTTGAGAGCATTACTTTTGAACTACATACTGGGTGAAATAATGGATTTTTCCTTTTTCTCAAAGCTACATAAAGAAATACAGTAATTTTATTTCTTTAAAAATCTACACATGTATGTAATTACAGTTTATCACTGAAAATTTAAATTAACATTTTAGGTTAACCTTTCTGATTTTAAAAGTTTGTGAAGCATAGAATTTAAGAATGCATGATGGGCTGCAGTCAAGACAGGTGAGAGCAAGTGATAACTTGTTAATGAAATAGCTCTTGCTAGGGCACTGAGATCAATTTATGTGGAATATTGGTTTTGCTTTGGTGGAGTTCTAAATGTCTACAGCTGTAAACACAAGCAGAGTTCATTTTGTAGAACTCATTAAATATGTTCCAGAGGAATGATGTGTTCTGTCTGTAAGTGATTGCATTTATTTTACAACAAGCTCTCAAGCCTGCAGAATCCCTGGACAGTCTTTCTAAGTGTCTTCCAGAAATTCAAGACATAGAGACAATAATTCTTCTGCTTTGATAAAACCTCTTTGCATTAAGAGTATCTCTTTGGCAAAAGGGAATACGGAAGAAAAAAGGTAGTGAGGTCAGACATTTCATTTTTCCCCTATTTTTTCTACTAGCTGGTTGTTGTCTTGGGCTGTTGAAAATAATATATTGATTGCTCAAATTGGCTTGCCTTTGAAGTGGAGGAGAATATACCTTCCTCAGAGGGAATCTTCAGAGTGAAAAATACCACTCTCTTTTGGTTTATTATATGCAGTTTAGTATATACAGAAAAGGTTTAAATTAACGTCATTTTACTTCAGGGGGAAAAAAAAGTGAAATTAACTTTTTTGTTTGATTGCTTGTGATTCACATGAGTTAAAAATCCTAGCAGACATTTTCTTCACAGTTCTTTCCTGGTGCTCTCCTGCATGCCAAAAACTTTGTTACATGCTTGGAAAGCCCAGGGTAGAGGAATACCCTGTTGTAGGCATGCAGAACGTGAATAAGACCTGGCTGGATGTGCAGCCTGTTTGTAAAGGGGAAGCAGACAGGGGTTTATCCTTCTGGTCAGTCTCAGCAGCTCCATTTGATTCATTTCCTTCCGTAATAGATTCCTGTGTAGTTCCTGCGCTAGGGACATCCCTGTTCCCAGGTTTGCACCATGCCCTGTGTTAAACCTGTTCCCAATCTGCTGCTTGGAGGCCAGTAGGACAGGAGAGACTATTCTTGCTGCAACTAACACTGTTTATATTCAAAGCTAATTAAAGCTGCAAAGAAAAGGAATGGCATTCTTGTAATGCAGGGTCTCTGGGAATTTCAGTGTATGCCTTGGTATAACTTTGGAAAAAATAAGCTCACTTCTTAACGTCTATGAAGAAAAGCAAGGAGGAGAATGTAGATAAGCATTAAAAGTCACGCTGTGCTGCATCAAAAGTAGCTGGTTTGATGGCAGTGGCAGTTAGACCCAAGTTCTAGACTTATTAGTGTTTGGAGAATGAACTTCTTAAGCTGTGGAAGAGTAGATATTATATTGTATCTCTAGGAAAGTTTTAGATAGTAATTTAACTGGATTTCATATGCAAAGTTGGACCTTTTTTAATTTTAATTTCTTGATGTCTGCATTTTCTGACATCAGTAGTAGTGCAACATGCTAATCCCAGCAGTTTCCTTAGAGCTTTAACAAAAGAAAGGGGCTGGGGAAGAGAAAAATACACAATCATTCATAAAGCTTAAAAACTGTGTTACCTTGCAAAAAGCTGTGTACTTCCATATCCTACACCATTTGGCTGTCATTTCTCTCTTTCACAGATGGTACATAACTCCTGGTTGGAGTGTGAGAATTCCTCCTTGCAGATGACAACTTTGATATTCTGATAGTGTCAGCATTTTGCTCTGACAGAGCAAGCAGTTAAATTACATTATACTTCATGGAACTTTCTAAACACATATCCCATTGATTCCAAATAGCTTTTCTAAAATTAATTGCATTTGAGAAGTAGCATTACAGAAGTACCACAGGATCATTCATTGCAGGATTGACATTATAGCTTTATACAAGAAAAAATTTGAACTCATTTCTCTCATATAGGTTGGCTTTTTATATATATTCTCTTATATTAGGAGGCATATTCTATAATTCTGTAGATTGGTTGTTTGTATTAAGTCATAGCAAATCTTTAAGACATTTTCTTTTAAAAAACAACATCAACCTTTGTATTGGATAGTTATGAACAAGTAGGATTTTTTTAGGCTATTTTTGGTTGGTTTCTTACTTGTTTCATCAACTCATTTTTTAAGAAAGGAGTACTTACTGTGGTTGCATATGCCACTAGCTACTGATATATTATTTACTTCACCACAATTGCTGTTTAGTTTTGGAAGACATTCTATTGTATTTAGGGCTTCCCAAAGGTTTCACCCTATTTTGTCTCCAAATGATTGACACAATGAATAAATAAATATATTTGTTTATATGAGTGATAAAAACTTCTTGATAAAAGGGTCCTCTCCCCATGCCTAAAGGAGCACATAGGAACAGTGAAAGGCAGGGGACCCTCAATAACCTAACAGAGAAATAAGTGCCCTGACCCAGCTTCTCCCAGAGCTATCACAGGAGTGTGATCAGTCCATGGGGTGGGAATGAACCCATTAAGTTAAATCAGTGGAAGTGCTCTCTTT